CCATGCAGGACACACTGTTGGACATGAGACGAACCATGCAGGACACAGGTCCAGCTGTGCTGGGACTGGTGCGGGACCGTTGTGGTCTGAACTGATGTCTTGTGTTTCAGGTGGAGACCTTCTCTGGAGTCTACAAGAAGCTGACAGGAAAGGACGTGGTCTTTGAGTTCCCAGAGTTCCAGCTGTGAATGTCCTGAACACAATAAACCTTGTTGACCGTCTCCTGGTGGTCCTGCCTGTTTCTTCCCTCTCCCCAGTTCCAGGTTGTAAGTTTCGTTCAGGTCCAGTCTGGTGCAGCTCTGCAGAGTCTTGATTCAACTGATCAGAACCAACAGTTCCTCTGGGGTCTGGCTCAGAAGATCAGTTCTTCTTGTGGGGCCTCTGGATTACAGCTGTCATTTGTAACCCGGGCCTGGACCCACGTGAAACTCTGGCCGGGCCAAAATAATGTGCTGGATGGGTGGACAGGGTCGGCGGACTCGTGCGTCCGACGGTCCAGTTTGGATCACCAGCAGCCGCTCGCGCCCCGTTGACCGTGCACGGACCGGACCGTTGAAAGAAACTTTACAAAGTCCAGATGGATGATGTCAGAGACCAACAACTAATAAATATGTATCAGTTTATTGATGGAGGCTCTGGGCTCGGTGATATGGACCCAAATTAGGAGCTCAATATTTTTTCTTAACATAAATAAAATATATTTGGGTCCATGTTTTGTCTCGCACACATTTGGAGCTGCAACTACAAAATAAAAACATTAGTTTTCAGACATTTACATATTAAATAATCTCCAGCTGTGGCTGAGTGGTTCGAGCAGTCCTCCAATGGGAGAGTTGCGGGTTCGATTCCAGCAGCAGTCGCATGTTGAAGTGTCCCATCAGAGTGTGAATGTGATCAAACTGATTCTCCAGATCTAGTATAGAGCTGGAGACGTGAAGATCTTGATCAGACCGCTACAGTTCAGCTGCGCTGCCTTCACGTTCGTCAGCCGGTGTGAACCGACTCCACTCGACCTTGAAGCTGCAGCTCCGACAGACCGGACTCCTTCCCTGAAGCAAACGGGTCGGAGCTGCTTGAGCCGTGCTCTGCCTTCAGAGGAGCGCATCATTTTATCATGTCGCTGAAGACGGTCCCGTCTCAGCTGCGTCTTTATTGTTAGCCACTAAGGGCCGTATCTTTAGCAAGGCATTACAGCAGACGCTCATTGTGCAGCTCGCAGGACAGGTTACAGCACAGACGGTACTTTTTTTTTTTTTTTTTACGTGCTGGCTTATTGTTCATGTCGGCTCGGGCTTCTGTGGTGAGGTTTCACAAATCCTACAGCACAAAGAGAACAGAATGCACAATATAAAAATACTGGAGGAGGAGGAAGAGGCAGGTCACACCGGCCAGTAAGGTAAAAAAACAAGCTTCAGATGGATCAGCTGATCACCGGCTGCACACGTCTCTGCACCTGCAGTGAAGGAAGCAGGAGCATCACAGGGCCGGTTCTAGACATGGTTACATGAGGGGGCAGGTGGAAATGTGAAGGGGGGCGTCTTCATCTGTACACATATTACAGTATATTCATTGTTGAGCATGGACTTAGATGCTTATTGTTATTGTTGACTTGTTTACACCTGTGAGTCAACATTTTCAACCATGAGCATCAAGTGACAGAGAAACTGACCCAGGTCCATCTTGAACATTCACTGGCTGCAGCAACAAATTACAACATGAAGAAAGTCCAGAACATGCAGCTTCTCATGTCAGTGCTGAGGTTCATCTTGTTTCAACACATGATGTTCTGGCTGCTGCTTTTCTGGTCCATGCAGCATCTACCAGGAATATACTGGTGAAGCTTCTCAGTCATCCAGGACACGATGAACTCAAAAAGCGTTCAATACAAAAACTACTGGACTTTATTTGTAACAGAAGACGTTTCTCTCCTCATCCGAGGAGCTTTCTCAATTCAAAGAGCAGAGAGTGAGAGATTCAGGTTATAAGGCTGAGTGAGATAAGACACACGTGTAGATTTGACAAGTCGCACCTAAACACCTTAACAGTAAAAGTCTTTTGTTCCTCTAATTCACAGTCGAGGCCCCTCTGTTCCCATCAGGTGTGAAAACCGGCTGGGAATCTGTCTTAAAGTTGCATTATATGTTTTTGAAAGTGGGAATCTGAGGCCTCCTCCTCTGTTAAGAGACGGCTTTTCTCTTTTTACATAAATTGCTTCCTTCACACCCCTCTCAAACCATCTGTGTTCTCGGTCCAAAATGTGCACATTTTGGTCCTCAAAAGAGTGTCCCTTATCTGTGAGGTGGAGGTGAACAGCTGAATCTTGTCCAGAGGAGCTGGCTCTCCTGTGTTGAGCCATGCGTCTGTGAAGAAGCTGTTTAGTTTCTCAATGTAGAGGTCTGGACAGTCCTCGCTGCACTGGACCACATACACTACACCACTCTGTTTGTGTATGGGTGTCTTGTCCTTAGGGTGGACCAGCCTCTGTCTGAGAGTCCTGCT